CTACAAACATTACATGCAATAAGTATTCAGTTTCCATATTTGAATGGTAAGTATACATTTGGTAACAGTCATCAGGTGGCAGTTGGCATAATCCAGTAGAGAAAACCTGAACAGTTTTTTATATTCGAGTATCTTATCTTGTCATGCTTATTTCTTTTGAATTACCTGTAACAGTTTTTGGGAAAGGGGATTTTGCTGTGCTGAAGTCAGAATTGGTGGGACGTGTAATTGGACTTGACTGGTTTCCAAAATAATGGGAAAAGTAATATAGACAATTAAGATGGTGAAAGTTTCAAAAAACTGTGTAACTTTTACTTTCCCTATTAATTTTGTAAAGAGATCCTGTCACAATTATTGGGGCGTTCTTTAGTTTGTGACTAATCAGAGATCGAAGTTTAAAAAATTCACTTTTTGACGGCGTGGTATATTGAGCATTACAGGCTGAAGTAATCAGTTCATGCTTCTAGCAGTTGGAAGTATGATGAAATAGTGTCAGATTTTTATCGATTTTTTTCGTGATAATTTCCCTATGATTCATTGTGATTTTTTCAAACGATCCATGTAAGTCACAGCAAAGTAAATTCCTGTTGTTGATTTTTAGATCTCTGTTGCACAAAAGAACTTAAAACAAAACTGACTTGTCCTGCAGCGCATTCCTGAAATGAGTATTGCGTTCCACTAAGGTTACAGACCAGATAAACAGAACTGCATCTTCCTAAGCCAACAGCATGTCGACCGCGACAGAGTGTTGCGAAAGAAATACGCTTAATTCCGTGAAAATACGGCCGTGGGAATACGTAATCTAAAAAAGTTGCAAAACAGAAAACGAAATCCGTTGAACGACAGAGGAAATCTGGTTAAAGTTAGCTTACTGCTTGAGTAGCCTGACGGAGCCAGCACAGGCGATGCAATAAGTGGTTGCGCCTTGACGTAACTGTTTGGATAGAACAGCTCTTGAAATGGTGTATTTTTTAGAAAGGTTGGAAGTCCTAAAGATATGGGGTGGTTTTAGGCGGTTGTCATCGACAGAGTGCCGGTCTGTGGTGGAGGCAAAACAAGTGTAGGTGTTGCAGAACGGGAGAAAAGTGAGGAGTGTAATCTAAATGTTGGTATTCCCAGAGCTCTAAATGCTGTTTTGTGCGCAGGCAATGTGGGATTTGGTTGTAGATTCGGTATTACTGCAACTCCATAGAGTGAGTGAAGAAGTTGAGCTAGTGAGTTTATTTTTCCCGGTGACGAAAGGCTGTCTTGGGTGGAAAGTAGGCTTGCTGTTGTAGGTGTTAAATTGGTCTTTGATAATACGTGTTTGCTACCGAGTAGTATGGAGAGGAGTGTAGGTGAAGAAAACAGTGATGCTGAGACAGGTGATGTTAAAGAAAACAAATTTGACGGAGAAAGATTTGATGAGTTCTGCTGGTGGTGGTGCGGTGTTATAAGTGTTGATGCCGTTGGTAATATTTGATTGGTAAAAGATGTCTGTGCTGTCGGAGTTTGGAGGTTCCTGACGTTTGGTGTACTTAATATCGCAGAAATCGCAGAAAACAAATTCGGCTTAATTCCTTCTGCTTGAGGGGCAGGTATCAACGACGGTGGTATGTGATTGACAGTGTCGAAAGTTGCATTCCCTGTATCGTACAGATTAAACGGTGAGGGTTCGGCAGAGGGGCTCCTAGTGGTCGGAAACTGTTCAAAAAGAAGAGGCTTGAGTAATTCTTCTAGAAGACTATTCAAAGAAAGATTAGAACTTCTTGACAGGAGTGTGTTCGGGACACTGCTTGAAGTGGGGGATGTTATGGAAGTGCCAGAGAAAGCTGTAAAAAGTTGCTCGATGGGGTGAGCAGGCGTTTCAGCCGAGCGTTTTTCACGACCTGCTTGCTGAAAATGAGTGTGTGAGAGCAAAAAACGGGCTGTTTTGGAAATTCTTTTTGAAGTATCATTTTATGTTCTTGGAACTACATCTTTGAGCCTTTGCTGGGCGCGTCGTAGTGAAGCAGTTTTCATCTTTCTTTATCAGTTCGCTGACGTTTCGCTTCGACTTTAACTGTTCTATGTCAGCTTTTTGGAAGGACGCAGGATAAGAATTGCCAGTGTGAAGGTATAAAAATTGACACAAAACTAAGTTATTTTTTTTACAAATTTGTTTAAAAGAGGTGGGCTGTTGTAGAATACTGCATAATAGCAAAAACTTCCGCGTTACTAGGGTTTTTCGAAAAGACTGAGGCAAAGGAACGAGGAAGCAGGAGACAGAGTGACGCGGGGTGGTTCAAGAAATTGCACTTTTGTAGAGATGTTGCAACATTTTGAAGGATTTTTTATTTTAGACTGAATGTGTCAATTCTCAAAACTCGGAGCAGTTGGACAAAGGTGGAACCTCGATTGGTAAGAGTTAACATGGTTGGCGTTGTATACTTCTGTATTCCTGCCTTGGGTTGATAAGAGACAGCCGAGAACTTGAGCTAGGTCCTTGAGAAAAGTTTAAAAGTTCTCCTTTTTGTTATCCTGCGGAAGAATAAAAGAAGTTTCTAAAACATGTTTTTTTCACTTTTTTTTTGTTTTTTTCTTCTGCTCTGTGGAAGCCACGCTTACGCTCCACTAAAACGTATTGAACGAAAGGATGGAGAACTGCTTAAACGAGGTGGGCACGAGCCCAGTCCAATCGTGACTGGTTAACAACGCAGGAGTGAAACGAAAAAGAATATTTTCTTTTACTCTAGCCATCTGCAGCAAAGAACTAAAGAATATCATATAGTTCAGCCATTTTTCATGTAGTTTATTAAGCTTCTGTATAATACTAGCAGTTCCATGTAAAGTTGTAAGAACATTCTGGACTATGGAACCTTCAAGCGCAAAGACGCTTTTATTAGCCCTTACCTAGCTTAACTCTAAGGTCTTTAGATTGGGGGACGTTAAAAGCCACATCCCAATAACCAGCGACAGCTGCGCTGTGCATTTAGCGAGACTATTGCGGAGAAACAGCTAGTCAGCAACTGTGAAGTTAGCTAAAAGGGAAATAAATACGTCAGTTATTTTTAATATTAAGTTCACAGTGCGTTAAAATTAAATATAACTGCTACAATTGTGGTTCTGTACACAATCAAGAGTAATACTATACGGCTTATTCTAGGACGAATGGATAGTTCCCTGCAGGCTGACTTCTCTATGTAAGTGCGCAGCTTTGGACTGTGAAGTACAGCGATCCACTGCTACTGTAACTGGGTGATGGAAATTCCTCCTCTGTGTAGACTCGTTCGTTACGCTGCAGACTTTGCAAAAATTTTTGCTGCTTACAATAAAATTTGCATTAATGTGGGCGTAAAATATTTGGAGACTTTGATATTTCCTCAAAATGATGCAGTTTCTGGATGAGGGACTCTAAACCTAGTTCGATATTTTATCTTGATACCTGAAATTTTAGTCGTCGATAGTCCGCTTTTGATTTAACGATTGTTAAACAACACAGTAGTACAATAGGGAAAGATGATTTGGATATTAGCATATTGTTGATCTAAACGAAAATTTTTTACTTAAGCTGAGAGTGATAAAACGACGGGAAAATTGAAGTCCGATATAGGTATTTATCACCAATACGTGGTTGTTTATTTACTAAATGTTCAGATATTTGGTTCCTTGAAAAAACTCTTCGTTCCAATTGTAATTTACTTTTTAGTTCTCTGACCATACAAGTATACATTCAACTATATCCAGCCTCACTGAACAGAATAGATCAAGACTCATTGAAAGAGAAGGTAGTTAAATGCTGCAAGGTGTGGTCACCCTACAAATTCCAATGCGAGTAGATACGATAGTTGTTTCTGTAAACCGTGAAGTCAGTTTTTCCTTAACAGCAATCCCTGGTGGTAAACGGTCAAATACATTCGTTGGTAGGCTCAAGTTTTCTACCGTAACTTCAATAAAACCGAAAATCTAGAGATACCCTTTTGAGATAATCTTTCCACTTTTTACTAGGAACGATCAAAGTGGTGTCTGTAAGAACCAGGCAGCTGGGCAGATGTATGGGCCATATTTACCGCATGCGCAGAACTGTTTTCCGCAAATGCACATTTACAGCGCAGCGCACTGAATCTTTGACTGGCAAATTCATACCATTCTTTTGTTATAGCCTTTTTTTAGTGAAAACAATTACCAAAAATTAAAAACTGGCTTCTTTCATTGATTTGTAAGACGTGCGTTTACAAAAACTTGCTAATTTTATTCTGGCAGTCATTGCACCAGCTACGGAGAAGCTTTACATTAACAAGTTATCGAGCGTTAAAACAATAACAGCGCTGAATCATTAGCCACGAAAGCCGGAACAAAAAACCCAGTGCGCCCTTTAATGTCTCTTTGCTGTTTACTGTACTCTCTTCACCCCCAATTGCCAAAAAACTGTTGTTATAAAAAAGCTCTGCACCATTGAGACAAATATACAGAAAGGCCCGTCAAGAGCAGTGTTGTCACGCCTTCACACTGACTGTTCAAAGCTTTTGAAACAAAATATCCAGTTCTCTTCGAATGTTTTCAACACCCATTTTTTATAAGGTGTAAGCAGAATTCAGTCTCATCTATCATTATTATAAATACATCGTCGATCAACCAAGCCTAATAAAACAGCAAAGCTGAGCTATGCAGTGCATAAAGATACCTAAAAACGACAAAGTCGCAAAAGATCCCTGAAATCCTTGTGCATTAAAAGTTCGGTTTTAGGAAGTGCCAACAAAGCGCAAAAATATGCAGAAAAAAAGTACATTTCTACCCTTTTTAATCGACAAAAAATTTTAAAAAGTCATTGTATGTGGAGACTTCTTCCTTAAGCAAAACAGTAAAAACCGTGACGGAACGGACTGAGTGACCTAGAAACATACAACAACCGCGTTTTCCAACCACTAAGCAATGGGTGTGACGCCCTGCGAGTTTTTTGGCGATTCAATCCCACAGCCAAACTCGCATCCCTCTGAACGAAATTGCCTGCCAAATGCGAATAAAATACTACGCAGTAACTAAAGGGTTCCAAAAAAACTTCCACGGGCTGAAGACGTGGACTTGCGCAACACGCATTCCCAACACGAGTCCCACAAACTCCAAAAGCAATACTATAAACTTGTCGATGAATTCATCAAAATCCATCAAAAGCTGACAATCATCCCCTTTTGTTAAAAGTAACCAAATGTGAAAAAATCATAAAATTCTAGACTTTTCCTGTAAATGTCCTATACTGTAATGGAGTTAAAATTCTAAACCATGTGATATAACAAAACTCAACTTACCCTCAGTAATTTTAGTTGATTAATTAAAAGTCACTATTTTACTTTATTCATTTTTATACATTATTTTCAGTTTTTCAAATCACAATTGTAAAAATAAAAAGAATTATTTTAGGACCAGTAAAAGGCGGTCGACGTCATTTAATTCTGTAATAATTTGTGGAAATATTACTGTATTCGAACGAATTTGAAGTTCATTCCGCAGGTCGGCGCATTCACACAACTGTTATAAGTTTACTACTTAAATTCAAGAGTTAATTCGCCCTTTGCCCATGCAAACTCTCTACACTGCTGCTAAAAATTTACTCTGACTAAACTTATGGCTTCGTTAAACTCTGGCAGAGCTTTGACTTACATCACACCCATACACTTTGATTGCCTTCTTTTCCAATAAAAATTTGATAAACTTATTACCTATTCAACTCACTCTACATTCACTTACAAAAATTATAAGTGCGCAACTAAACCTGAAGTATAAGAAAACTTATATAAGAAACTATGGGTTAAAAATTTAAATTAGGTTAAAAATTTAAATTACGGCGTTTCAACAGAAGAGAAATTAGCCATAATGAGGGAGGTTTGGTTAAGCCTTAAATAAACTCAAATTAAATGCTGTAGAGATTACAAGGTCTACTACAAACTATTGCATCCTAGGCAGCAACTACATCCCCGCCTATAAGATCTTCCAAAATCTTTCAAGAGAACTGCTTTAAAAGACAAATGTGATACAATTATTTTCAAGCAACTGCCAAAAAAATAAGCCTCACCAGCGAATACCGGAGCCCTAAAACTTACCAGCAATTTCATGAGTAGCAGGAGTTTTTCAGAAACTGAAGAAAGTTACTAAACAAAATTGCTTTGATAATGCTACCTACCTTACTAACTTCTATTGCCGTAATTCTAGAAGGAACCGGTTGGGGAAAATAATTTAAAAAACTAGAAGTAACAACAAAGTCTAGCCGAACAAATTTTTCGATGTTACCAGTAACAGCACTACAGGTAAACCACTCAATAACTGAATAAGACAACAAATTCAGGTAGCTCAAAACCCCAAAACCGATAACTCTGTCACTCAAGTGAACAGAATTACAAAATCCACAAAGATGGTCAAAAATTAAATAGATCCCCTTTACACTTCAAATAAATGTCCTCTGAAGCCCGAATTAATCTTTACGTGAAAACCCTTCCCGATTACCAAGAACTTTTTAATGAAACCTTTTCAGCTAATGAAATTTCGTTTGAAACTGCATACTCAACATATACAACTATTTCAACGAGCAAAATAAAAGTTCCTAAAAAAATTCCAGAAAGCTTGCGGCCGTAACCAATGAACAAAAAGCTCTAGAGTTTTAATAATCAACTTCAATATATAAAGAATAAACCTACAATGCAAAACAAGACAAACCTCGTTCAACCCGCAGAGCACCAATACGTCATTGATACTTATGGAGCAGAAAACATATGACTAAACTAGTTCCAATCAAACAAAGTTGTAAAACCTTACAGAGACAAACTTCAGCAACATTTACAAAAAAATTGAAATGAATAATATTATAGCACATAATTAGTAAAGCTTGATTCCCTATAACAGCTAAAAAACGTGAGATAATTCAACCTTCGATAAGAAATACCTTAACAGCAATACTCAATTGCACATTTCATAAAACTTAAAGACTTTCTTTACCTCCATGAAAAAATCCATTATGAAGACTTCCTACAAACAGCAACAATAAGACAATCGAACTTATTCCATAGCTCTACACCTTTCATACCTTGTTTTAAAAGTATCATAAAAGCAAAAAGAAAAAAATAACAACGCTGTCACTACGATAGAACCTCTTTAATCCGAATTCCTTATGATGGACCACACGGCAATAACGTTGCGGAAGTTAAATAGCCTGTGTGAGACGGTTGGGCAGGTGGAAACGGAATTAATCCATCAGATAAACCTAAGCTTCCATCACTTACAATGTCCATCAGTTTACGTTTTTTGCTTTGCGGTGGTAACGAATCCATATTTTCATCAGCATTTTTATTTGAAGCACTCGGTACTATAGATGCATCCAGCTCCTCCAGTTTCTCTTTTGGCAAACCAAGAAGCTAGAACAAGTCTATCCCGGTAAAATAAAAAGACGTGACAAAAGAAAAATAATTCTCGAAGAGACTAAATTTCTATGTCTATGACCACTGCAGTCTAGAGGAAGTAATGTATAAAAAACCGTCCCAATAAAGCACAAAACTTGCATAAGGTCACCTTTAACTTCCTAGGAACAAGTTCAACAGTTTCAACCTTTACAAAACCTCTACTTCTCAAAACTTCACAACATCTCTGAACCTAAAAACAATACCAGTTATTCGTACCAAGTGTCCCTGAAAATCAAAGTAATCTCCTAATTGAAATAAAACGTTCCAGAGTTTCCTATAATACATAAGCTGCAGAAATACCTGTTCAATACAAGGTGAAAAGCTAACTAAACGCCCTCCCCGAGTTTTGCTCAAAGCTCGTTTGGCATGGTCGATTGCATCCCATGGAGCTGGCAAGTCTAAAAACACACCATCGCAAAGATCCTCCACCACAAAGCCATCAATACAGACATCTCTAAGTGCACATGTCGTAACATCTTGCAACCCATGGTCCTATAACAACACTATTGAAATTACAAATAGACAACAACCCTAACCAAACACACCAATAATTACAATATACTTTGAATTCGCTTTCAATGTCCTTCACTCTCGACTCCTCTATATCGTGAGTATAAAGATGACCAGAAGGAGCAATTATCATGGCCAAAGCATGGGACAAAGACCCGCTTCCTGTCCCACTTTCACAAATTATCTAAGATGTTGGGGTTTGAACTACGGATCAACTAGTTAGCTCAAAAAGATTTACCAGGACTACAACGATTTACATAAAGCGCTCAAAATAAATAGATAATTGAACGAAAATAAACTTGCTCAGCAAAAGAACCAGTATTCATGTAAAGCCTAATAGTGGCTGAACTGTCTGACACAACTAAGAACTGAAAAAAAAAAAAAACATGGAAGAAATGAGATCAGAAACGATACCGATCCCGGTCTTGCATCCAATAACATGAGAATTAGAGAACAGTCGGGAGTGTACAAGATCTGAGTCCTCCTACTTAAAGATCGAGTCCATAATTCTGCACTCGGACGTAAAGCGTACACATACCCCGCAGTAGCCAAAACACGAGACCCAAACCTTTAAAAATAACCTAAATCTAACATACATTTTAAAAAAGCTAATAAAGGGTTCTTGAAATGCACACGCGGGGTACGTAGAACCGTGGTGAAATAATAAACCTTTTTCCGATAAGAAACTCGTGCCGCAGAGCTCCATACTTCATGTGCAAAGTGCACCCTCTTTTTACTTTAATCGCGTAGACTGTACCAAAATTTACATAAACGATTACAGTATCACCTTCAGCAATACATTCGGTAAAATTCAAGAATGACCTTTGTGACGACAAACAACACTGAAAACGATAAGTTATAAGAAACTAGTCGAAACTGCCTTAACGCAATTATTCCGAAACAAATCTTAATGCAACTATTTTAAAACAAAAATTTGTGTGTTCTAGAAAATACGGTAAGAAATGTAACTAACGTCTTGTTCCAAATCTGACACTCGTACAATAGTATTTCTTCCCTTCATTTCTGCTTCCATAATTTTTTTATTAGTTTGAAAGCTAAAGTTTAACCACGGAAAAAAGAAACTTCCTAGAATAATAAATATAAGCTTGCGCGCAACAAGACTGTCTTACATAAGCAAACAGAGTTACAGAAAATCATTTGAGTATACATAAAGACCTGAAAATTAGTGAAGGAACCGTACGCCTTCGACTTCCGACCCAGATTCCAGAAACTGTGCACGTCCCTCTTCAACAAGCACAGTTAAAGACTTGATAAGAATATCTTTGTCTAATCCGTAAAAAGCTGCAAGGAATACATCCTACTTCCCGACTTATGTGAAATATACAAATTTACTTGGATATATTTCAAGAAAAATGATTAGGAAACCTTTTTTTGAAGGACAAAGGTAATAAAAATAGATATTTTGAGGTCATACATTCTCTTGTTGTATCTACTCCTCGTGTGAGCTCATGTAGCGTCAGCGGGATGTCGAGTTGAGCGTTGCTGACAGCCCAATTATAAATTAGACTAGCCCACTCCTCTGGTCTTCTCCAATATATATGACACCGATTTTTACTGCTGTCTAACCAATCAACGTGTTCTAAAAAGAAATTATAGACTTCCCGAAGTCTATTCTTTAAACGCGTAAAGAACAAACTTTTTTGTTCCAGAAAGTCAAACACCGCCCGAACTCCTTCAGATGAGAGTCTCCTGTTTAAAGTCGAGTTACAAAAAAGTTCTGTATTTGATATATCACTGATTACGAGTGTATATATCTTGTGGAACTGACAATAATCAAGAACAAGATCACTCCAAGCCTCTAACTGCTTTTCCCGCGTAAGTAATGCCGGTTGTAATCTAAAAACAGTAATAGTATTAAAAAAACTCAATAAACAGTTAATTAAAAGAGTATGAAAGTATGCTTTAACTGAGTGTGATGCATAGAATGACTTTGAGAGCTTCGTCTGAAAATTATTAAATTTTTGGCACCGGTTATGAATCTGCCCTTTTCTAGAAAGTAAAGCTATACATCGCGCTTCAGCTTAACAACAAACTGGAGCAACTATTTTGCTACTGAAAAAGCTGCCAAAACCGTGTTTCTGAGAAATAATATATTACCTGAATTTCGACTTCGTATAAATAACGTAACATTTTCGGCGCAAATTTAAAGTACTTACGTAAAGAATGGTGGAAATTCGTATTGCCAAGGCCAATTAAAAGTCATCCTACAACGACAGAGCTCAATAACATTACCTAAAAGGAGAAACAAGTGGTTAAAGTTTAAAAAAAGCCACCGTTACCTTCAGAATAAATAAGTAAGTTCGATAATCTCGTACGCACATAAAAGTATGTGAACAACGTACTGCAGAAAACTGCTAATCCAAATTAAAATAAGCACACAATTACGAGCAGCAAAAAATTCACACTTCACTTACAGAAATATTCAGAATCTTTGACATAAAAAATTTTAACCAAGCGGCCAGTAACATCCAAAACAAATTATAATCTCAAGTTTTGGACAAATAATCTCGAACTAATACCTAGTATTAATAATATCAATACTAGAGATCAAGACAAGTCCTTAAAAATTTTTAAAAGAACCGCGTACAAAACGGAAGCTGCTGTATTAAATAAAACCATTATAAGTACCTTTAGCCAAATACGACCGACGTAAATTTTGCCAGAAAAGTTAAAAAATAAAAGAACGAAGTATGAGGAAACGATTCGAGGCGTAAAAAAATTAATAAAAAAAAAAAACGAATAACAAAAAAATAAAATAAACGAGGAAAAAAGTGCGAGAAAAAAAACAACGAGCAGGAAATGTGTCAGAACTTACAAACAAAATAAGTTATTTGAACTGAATCGAATAACGACAAAATAGCAAAAAAAGTCCATTCCCCGTGGCTTTTATTAGTGGACCAAAACAAGGAGCCTTTCGAAAACTCTGAAACTGGGCACGTCGCCAAAAAAATACACCACTCAAAAACAGAATCAATGAAAGAAAAAAGCAATTGTTTGGGCTGTACATCGCCACAGCTTTTCAAACCCGGTGATTATTTGTCACAACCTCATTTGTAAGACCCTGTGAAAGGCAAAAATTTCTGATCCGATGATGAGTTTGCGACTAGGGCGGTCTGCAAACATGCTGATGATTGTCATGTGTACGGGTATGCCTGAGGGTTGGACTGTTGTGTTAGGCCTAAAGCTGCACTGTGTTTTGCAGAAGGGAGTTTGGACGAGTTTCTTGTAGGTGAAGGCTGTTGGTGGTTTGGGTGTTTGCTAAGGACCGGTCATTTCCTGGGGGCATGTTGTCGACACCTCTCTGCTTTACCGTTTATTGCTTGGTGTTGTAGGGCTCATAATCATTGATTGGTTGCAGCGTTAGAACCTCCTTTGAAGGCAGGGGTAATGGCGTTAAGTGCCGTGGGCAGAAAAATCTTTTGGAGACTTTGTTCATACACACACGTCCAGCACTAAGCTCTTGAATCTTTAATAAATAATCATAAATTAGCCCGTAACAGAATCAGAGATAACAGTCAGGAAGAGGAGCATTAAAGACAAATATTTGCAAACTTGTGAGTAAAAAATTGACGGAACTGAGTAAGTACCAGGTCAGTAAATATCAAAAGCAAAGCAAGTTGATTCAAAAAAAAGATAAAGGAAACACAAGAAAAATAAAAAAGCACTGATCTTCAAGAATTGATTAATCTACCCGTAGGCTTATCCTTGTAGAATACTCAGCAAAGGTTCACATCATATAGCATGTAACTGTTCGAGACAACAGATTCCCTCTTCACAACCAACTTCAAAAATGCTTTCAGCAGCAACAGCAGTAGCAGCAGCACAAAAGCTGCATCAAGAAGACAACTTTTTTTTTTCACTTAATTCACATCAGCAACTAAAAATAAGA